GGGGGGGGGGGGGGGGGGGGGGGAGGGAGGAAGTCTCATTGGACAAGGACTTACAAGAACTCAGGCGACCACTGTCCTTCCCGAGCTCTCATCTCATCATGATCTTTATTGAGATAGTAAAGCAAATTTACTGAATGCCATGTTTGCAAACAACAAATCCTTGCTTTACAGTCCAACATTTTAATTCAACTCCTTGACAATTTAGAATTCATGGCCAGTAGTTGCTCTGCAGGAAAAGGAGGTACCCTTTTCTGAGCCAAAGTTATAATAAACATTGCCTTATCAACCTTCCCCTCCTTCCGCAGGCCTTCAAGTAGCTTATAGATGGTATCCACATTGGGAAACCAATTCTTCTTCATGCTGTCTTTACACATAGTATACGCTGCACCAAACTCACCTCCTCTACAAAGATAATGAATCATGGTCTGATAAATTTTGATATTGGGCTTGTAACCTTGGTCATGTAAACCAGAATAAACCCTTTTGGCCATTTCAAGATAACCAGCACGGCAAAAGCCTTTGATCACCAAATTAAATGTAATCTCATCAGGATTTATCCTAAGGTGCTGCATCATTCCCATCAATTTATTAGCTTCCCAAGCTCGTCCATTAGTCACCAAGAATTGAATCCTAACATTGAAGGTTGCAAGGTTGGGTAAACAATGCTTAAGCACCATAAGATTCCACAAGCCATTGCCAACCTCCCAGCAATTAATCTTATAAAAAGCTGATAAAAGTGTCGTATACGTAACCACATCAGGTCTTATTCCCGCTTTTTCCATCTCTACCATAATCAAGTAAGCTTTATCTGGTATACCCATTTCGCAGAATGATTTGATAACAATATTAACAGAAAATATATCTAATTCAATGCCAAACTTAAAAGGAACCTCTCTAAGAAATGATTCAATTGCCTCCAAATCACGGGTTTCCGTCAAAACCTTGAGTGCAGCATTAAACGACTTAACAGTTCGACGACAACCACACAAATGCATATCATAGAATGTTTTCACAGCATGCTTACTCATTCCAGCCTTTCCGTACAACATTATAATCCGAACAATGAACCCTTCACGCCGACCCTGCGGCAGAGTCTTCTGATGCTCAAGTAATTCCTCAATGTAATCAAACCGGCGTGCCCCAGCTAACCTAGACACCGTGTCTTCAAAAGCAAATCGGTTCTCAATCACAATCTTATTATGGGCATTAGACTGGAATAAACGGAACAGCTTTTCTGGGTCTCTCTCAGCCTTAAGCTTAATAAGGGCAGGTTCATCTAATTGGATAGGTTTTCGAATGTTACTTGAAACTAAACTTTTATTGCTCGTAGTACTCTCAGTGGCAGCACTGGCAGCAGCGGCGGCGAGGTGGGTTGCGGTGCCAAATCTGCGAACCGGGCGCACAGAGAGCATGTTCCAATATGCCTCTCAGATTGAAACATACCCACAAACTAGAAGCAAGGTCTTAACCAATATTTCAACAAAATCTTCAATGCCCATGAAAAAATAGAGCAGCCCACTAACACTACCAAACAGAACAAGCAAAAAACCAAACGATTCAATCAAATGTCATTTAAAACCCTAGAGAAAACTCACCCAATAAAGTGTACGAAAAAACCCCAAGTGTAATTTCTATATGCAGTTCCTGAGAGATAAATCATCTGTATGTATGTACTCCACATTGCGGCTGAAGTTTCAGACATTGTAGTGAGAGAAAGGATTGAATGGAGAAGAGAAAACCGAGAGAAATCGAGCTGGTTTTGATCCAAATCATCATGTTGATCGTTTTGGCGCTCTGTAGACTACATACCCAGCCGGTGCGGGTAGTGGTGGTGGAGGATTTTGCGTCATGAGGATTTAGGTTTTGGGTTTTTGGACTGTGGGCTGTTTTGATCTAGTGGATCTGGTTGCATTGTAATGTCTTTTTACCGCTGGTCGCTGGAGTAGCTGAAAGCCCATTGGATATACTGAGGGGCCCAGTTAAAAATCAACCATCTCCCTTTCACATCAGGGCCAACTCTACGATAAAATCCACTTGCACATGTGTTGTCTTATGAATTATTGGGATTTGGGTTGTGTTTACCTAGAGATTTATTTATTTGTATTATTTTTCTTTAGTATACGTGGTTAGACTTATACCGATTACTCATTCGAATTCTGAGTTGATTATCGTAATTCGAGTTAATTTAAAGACATATCCTCTCCCTTGAGGAACGAGAGTGACTGATCATTAGAGAGTGTGAGATGTATCACACCTAAAACCTCTTCCTTGTAAGAGAACAAACTTAATCATTTGAACACTCCTAAAAATTTATTTGTTTATCATTTAAATTCATTAAAATTAAATTCAAATTTATAATTTAGTACCAATTTCGTATTGAATTTTCTAATAGTTAAATTGCATATTTTAAAAGTAAAGTTACTACTAATGGGATTATTCATGATCGCCCATGAAATTAGTGATCAATCATCAATAACCTCAATTAGATATGATTTAGCCTTTAAAAAGTGAAACTTAATCTATAAAAGTTACTATTTTCATAATCGATCTTAATATTTTGTGATCAGTTATGCTTGACCTTAAATTTTTTATTTTATTCTATATTTGTAGTCATATAGTTGTAAATAAAAAGATTGTTTGATAATACCACTTAATACTTAAAATTGAATACTCACTTAATGAATTAAACTGATTTGTTAACTTAAAACTCATATCACTTAATATTTTAAATACTTCTTTAAAATATGCTAAAATTTTAAGTAGTAAGTCATCTACTTATCACTTAATACTGAAAAATATTAGGCATCAAAAATNCTTAAAACTCATATCACTTAATATTTTAAATACTTCTTTAAAATATGCTAAAATTTTAAGTAGTAAGTCATCTACTTATCACTTAATACTGAAAAATATTAGGCATCAAAAATTTTATAAATTCATCATAATTGACAAACATACATTGAATGCATTTTACGCTCTTAACTTTTCAATACCCACCATCCACCACCACCATTGTGCCGCCACCATCATTACCACCACCACCACCACCATTATGATAATGGTGATTGGAATAAGGTAATTGTGGTATGATGGTTAAAAAAAAGACGAAATTAAAATAATAATAATAATTTTTAGACTCGAGTTCCTTATATTTATCAAACAGTTAGATTCAATTAAATAGTTAAATTTTAGTATATCAAACACTCTACGAATTAAAAAAATTCAGCATTCAACGCTTAAAATTCAACAATTAATTTTTTAATATCCAACTTTTAGTTTTATCAAATAACACCAAAGTGAGTGAAGCTCTATCATCCTAAATTTATGTTTGAGCAATACTATTGGGACTAAATTTATTGACATAATTTGTTAACCTATTTCACTATATCCTTTGAATTGACTATGAACTTCATCAAACATTAGAACTTAGTGCTGATCCAATGATTCTACTGAAACCACATTATTATGTCAATAAATTAAGTCAAATTTNTAAATTTATGTTTGAGCAATACTATTGGGACTAAATTTATTGACATAATTTGTTAACGTATTTCACTATATCCTTTGAATTGACTATGAACTTCATCAAACATTAGAACTTGGTGCTGATCCAATGATTCTACTGAAACCACATTATTATGTCAATAAATTAGGTCTAAATAAGATTACTCTTTATGTTTTTCTTCAATACTTCACTCTATAATTTAAAGAAGGTAATGCTGTGGTGAAATTTATTCCAATTAGCCTCTCCTCTGCACGTTTAATGGTTTACTGAGCTTATACTTTGAATTTTCACATTTTTGTTTCTTTTCATTCAGTTCTCACCATCAAAGTCATTCGATAACAGCAGAAGATCAAGTTCCAACAACTAAAACAGGTTGTTAATATTGAACTATACCAACTAACCCCATCAAATATGTAGCAAAATTTCACCTATTCAGGTTGTAAGGTTATACATCAGAATTACTTCCTCCTTACAATTGAGAAAGTTGAACCAAAAAAAATAAATAAATGGCAGTTGTTGCAGTGTTGCTAATGACCGAACCATTTTTGGGGAAGTTGATCCACGACTTGAATCTCATACTTTTAGTCCTTCGATGCAACAAGAAGCAGCCCCAAAACACCAATAATGATATACTGCAAGATAAAAGAAAGGAAATTATTGAAGTATTTTAGATAAGTTTCTGTAATAATGCTTTCAAACTTTGCTGCAATTTCGGATTTTCCTGCTAACTTCCCAGTTTCCACCAATTGCAACACTCAACTAAAGATTTGATCAATGTAGTAGGGGGTTTGCTTTAGTTTTGCTGGACTGAAAACGCTGCAGAAATTAGAATTTTAACTACAATTTGGACTTCCAGTCAATAGTGACCAGATGATTTGAGTACCACTTCACAACAGATACAGATTGCATATCTTTACAGTAGTTTATTGTCATCTATGATAATACACCACTGAATTGTATAGGTAAAAATATTTGATTTTAGAATTCAGTGGTCCAGTGTTACAAGAAATATATATTCTGGAAAATGCAAACCTTTATAATAGGATTGTCAGTCATTATGATCGTCACCCAACCAACATAGGGTAAGAACCTGCAAATGACAAGGAAAGAAATACCAACTCTATAATGTTCATTCATAAAGAGAAGCATTTTTTTTACCTTTTTTCCAAAATACTAGTAATAAAGAAATTCAAAAACATGTAAAAGCTGAGCTTTTGATCATTATAAGAAATTTAACTCCAAGTAGAGAGAAGAGCACACTTTTCCCCCTTCTGCTGATAGGTACGAGAATAGGCAAAACATTTTGAGGTCAAGCTGNTTGATCATTATAAGAAATTTAACTCCAAGTAGAGAGAAGAGCACACTTTTCCCCCTTATGCTGATAGGTACGAGAATAGGCAAAACATTTTGAGGTCAAGCTGGGTGAGTTGTTGGCAAAGAACCAACATCACAAAAGTGACAAAACACTAAATAAAAGTGTACTAACGGGTAAGCAAGTTGGTTAGACAGACAACAGGAAAAGTGTAATCTAAGTTCCCACTGAAGATAAAAATCCATTCTAAATGATTCTTAGTGGTAGTAAAAGTGAGCCCATTCATTTTCCACATAGCGGAATTTAATTCTATTTGCATTAGAGCAAATTCAAAAGGAGGGGGCCTTGGTGCAGGGTAAGATTACTTCATTGAGAGTGGACGTGAGTCGCGGGTTCGAGTTGCAGAATTAGCCTCTCCGCATGCGGGATGAAGCTGCATTTATCTAATTCTCCACATAACCAGTAGTGGTGGGAGTTACGTACATTGGACACCCAATTTCCTTGCTTCGAATGTTTTCAACTAGGGAAATTGGGCAATGAATCAATTTTATACTCCCTGTCATAGGGGTAGACATGTGCATGATAGGCAAAGGAATTGCAGAACATAGATGAATGAAAAACAAAGTGCAAACTTTATATCACTAATAATCTCTTAATTGGTTCCCATAAATTCAAGTCTTGGCTTGAAATGGTGTTTCAAAAACACGGCAGTTTTGGGACGGTGAAATAATCATGTTAGATAGTGCCTATAAGAAATCAAAAAGAATGGTTCACACTAGATGTTATACCCCACTGCTCTGCCCATGATATGGTGCCTCTGGAGCCAGAGCTGACCACGAGCATATAAAATTCGGTCATTCTTATCATTGTTATCCCCTGAGAAAGAGCGCAAAATATGTAAGCGGTGAACATTGAAAATAAAGTAGGTCACCAATGCACAAAATACAATATCATTAACCTAGAGAAGAATGATAAAATAAAACCCAAAACAATGAAATGCCTTTTGTGTTCTATACAAAATAGTTGCAAATTATACCATCTGACCAAATAATCAGGCTGTTTATTTGTTTACACTCCCCGTTCCTACACACCTATAGGAAATCTCCATCAAGAACATGGAGATGACATCATTTATTTTCACTAATGCAAACTTTTATACATAATCAAGAATCATGCACCTTTTGTGAGGACATCAACTTCTCCAGTTTTTCGGCATTCATGAACCTGCACCAATAATAGACGATCAGAACAGAGGACTACACCAGGTTAACTAGAAGAGTCTGAAAATTGACAATAGCAAAAGAGAATACATCAGCTTCAACAACCAACCAAAAAAAAAAGTACAGTTGAAGTTTAGTTTAAGTTTTGAGACCGCAAAGCAAAAACCCAACCACCTATTAGAATCTACCCTTTGTAAACATGTTATTTATATAAAGTTTAAGTAGAAGCTATCTAGGGCGTACAACTTATAAGTTATAAGTGATGCAATCTCATCAAGAGCTTGCCTTGACCAAGAAAGATTCGATGGAAGTTTTTAAGCAACCAAATTGCTTGTGACAGACTTGAATTTGAAATAAAGATGGTTATTATTATCAATAGGGGTCTACAATCCAACTAGTTTAAACACTCCCTCAGTTCCTTCAGAAGTCTTAACAGGGGCATTCATTTTCATCCTTTTTAGGACATGATGTTTGTGCAAAAATTCCTTTCAGGATAATCTGAGCATTATCACCAAAACGGTAAATTTCTTAGAAGCAACTGAAGATTCAATCAAGCATTCACTGTTTCCAATGTTTCCCAGGGTATAATAGAAAATGCCTAGAACCAATGGGCAGAGGACCACCAACTGAAGTTTTACTAGGGTATATCTGAAGTCATTTCTCTGATAGTCAAATCAAACTGCATGGTCCATAAAGATGCCTAGGACCACTGAAGTGTCATTAAGCATCAATACATTATACATTTTTTACAAAGCAACACATCACGCATCCCTGGCAATATGCAGGTTCTGCTGCAAATTTAGGAGTAAACAAATCAGGCATGTTTGCAAATCAGGCAAGTTTGCAAGCCCCCTAAGGGTTAACTACNCGCATCCCTGGCAATATGCAGGTTCTGCTGCAAATTTAGGAGTAAACAAATCAGGCAAGTTTGCAAGCCCCCTAAGGGTTAACTACAACTAAAACTTGTTGGTTCTGATTATGTTAAGTGACTACACATAGAGGTCTATAAAGCAAGGTAACCATTGATAGGGATTATGAAGAAATATCCAACACATCATGGCAAACAATAATCCTTTTGGCTCATAAAAACACAACAACATGCACTCATTGGGGAATAACAAAGCATTGCTTTACTGTCTAATTTACAGTTATTACGCATAAAGCCTAAGCCATTGGATCTCTAATGCTGCACTAATCATAATACATGGAAAGGAAAAGATGTTCCTACTATTGTTACCTTGATTACTCGATGAACAATTGGAATGTCCTTGCCCTGAGCACAATAGAAGGAAAAAAAGTTGTAAGATTATAGATCTTCAGAGAGGCGTGTATATACAACTATATGTGGGTATACAGGTTGCCATGTGAACCAATCAAAACCAAAAAGGAAATTTTAAAGGCTGTAAATACCTGAACCCCCAAAGATGACCCACGGAAACTACAAAAATAGAAGACTTTTGAATAAAAGGGAGAAATCATTGTTAAGGCACATGATCTTTTTTGAAGCCATATATTAATTCTAAGTGGAAAATAGATATATAGAACCTGAGGATTTAACAGCAGCTCTAACACTGGAAATTCTGGCTACAAACTAAGTAGTATAGACTGAACAAGATAAGTGTAACAGACAAATGTCATTACGATTGAGGATTCATTGAACTAATATGGAAAAAAGAAGTGGCCATGTAATTGTTTTTGTCCCAAAAGACCAAGACTAATATCGATTGGTTCGAACATTTAGGATTGGTGTGCAAGCCAAGGTCCTAAATATCCCCTTTTCCTTTTAGCAGGAAGCACTCCAATCAAGAAGTAAGAAGACATTAGATAAGCATTAGACTAAAGTGTGTGTATAATTGAAAACATGTTGCACATAAGGGGCTTCAAAAGCACAGGTCAAAGAATGAATCCCACATGGCCAATGGAAGATAATGAACTTCTTTCATGTAACTAATGCCAAAAATGGTAAGTCTTCCATCATACAAGGTTTTTTTTTTCTTTCAAACAGACAAGAATTCAATTTTTTGACTGTTATTTCTTTGGTTTTTTTTCTTCTTGTTTTTGTGTGTGTATGTTTGGAGTTGGGGTGTAAGCCACCATTTTCAAGGTTCAGGAAGGTGGGTTCAAGCTGTATTCCAAAAGGGTAACTAAAGAAGTTAGTACGAAGGCTGGCCTATATTAATGATCACAAGTATAGTTAGAACAAAACAATGGAAAGCAGAGAGAAACAAAGAGAACTCTTACATCAACATTAAACACGATAATTTCCCCAGCACGAATAGGATCTTTGTTCATGTGCAAGAACAAAATGTCTCCCTGCAGATGAAATTAGTAGTTGGTGGTTACAGTTGGTTAAGAAATTATATGGATGCATAAGCTTAATCTTTTCACTATAAACACACCATACTCGTGGTCATAAAACACAGACACACAACCAAGTGAGAAGTGTCCTGAAACAAAAATAACTCACAAGGCTTTCCAGGTATCAAAGAAGACTCATGGCAATATGTAGATAAGGAAATCTCACATTAATATTCAACTGTTAAAACTAGGCGTACAACAAAGTAACAGAGTATTCCTCTTATAAAAGGGCATGCATCTCCATGAAAGCAAGAAAACAGAAAATAGTGCTCTCTTTTTTATTTTCTACACAAGACAAGTGATTCCTTGTTTTAGATATAGATGTTGTATATAATAGTACTTCTATTACAAATTTAATTGGCTTAGAGTATGGAAAATCACATGTTAGATGGGCTTACCCTCTGGAAGCCAGGTTCCATGCTTTCAGAAAGAACAACGACAACAGGAGATTCACTCCCAGTAATGCACATCAATGCCTTCCATATAATCAACGCAGATGCAACAACCATACCTGAGGCCAGAACCAGGACAGACAATAGAAGATTATCTATTCAGTTAAGTACGATATCGTAATATATCTTTCTGAATACCACTTTACAACAAGAGTAAACACCTGTAGCATGGCATGATGATTTGCTTTCGAATATTTTAACTGTATGATTTGGCCAATCATCAAAGCAGAGGAAAAAGACCAAATGAACAAGTTCATGTTTTACTATCACCTTGATTTTATATCAGCATTCAGCGATCACTTACCAAAGTCAAAGAATATAAGGCTCCAGGTTTGAGTAATTTGTTGCACTTATGTGGTTACTAGTATTAGGCATAACAAATATTGACCACTAATTAGCATCTTTACAATATATAAGTAGTTTTTAAATTTTTATTTAGTATTATGCTTTATATTTGTTATGTATTAGAAATTATACTTCAACAACGTACTGATTTTTGAATTTCTGTGTGTCACAAAATCTTCTGAATTTTGGATTTTTCTTTTCCTTGCCCTATAAGACAAATCTAGAACCTTTTGAAGAAAATATCTCGATAGCAAATGAGGTTTCCTTAATGACAAAAGCGGCCAACTTCAACATCTTTTGGGAAATTGAAAAGTAGTTCCTTTGTTATCGCCCAAGATACCATTAGAAATCGTGAGAACAAGACAACGTAGATCAAGCATCAAGAAGAGAAAGACATAATTCAACTTGAAGGACCCATAAAGAGTGCCTTGAAGAGAAGTTTAAAAGAATGTGTGCAAGAAAAGATGTTGCAGATGTGGCCAGTCCAGAGAGAGAACACATTGTGGCAGCTGACTACCGAACATCTACAGTCAAAGATATGGCTGGAAAGGGCTGAGAGACAAGAAGGGATTTTTAGCACATCTGAACAGGGAGTCTAGTGTTTTCTTAAGAACAATTGATCCACGAGCGACTGAAACAAGATTAATAAGATGGCCAAGCNAAGATATGGCTGGAAAGGGCTGAGAGACAAGAAGGGATTTTTAGCACATCTGAACAGCGAGTCTAGTGTTTTCTTAAGAACAAATGATCCACGAGCGACTGGAACAAGATTAATAAAATGGCCAAGANAGAAGGGATTTTTAGCACATCTGAACAGGGAGTCTAGTGTTTTCTTAAGAACAATTGATCCACGAGCGACTGAAACAAGATTAATAAGATGGCCAAGCAAGAAGAGTCATCGTTCTACAGTTGTTTTACTAACAGTGAATTTGTTTGTCACAAGTTATGCAGCGTGAGAACTCATCTTACATTGGAATCAGAGAAGCTAACAAACTGTATAAGGGTGTAAAACTCCAGAAGACAAGAGCCTTCTTCAGTAATCAACCGAGTGGAGAAACCAGCCTTTTTCTGGTTGATAGGTAAAGGCCGCGAATATCATATAATATAATACAAATCTCCCTATCTTTTAAAGCTTCCCCGGAATAAGGAACTTCTTTCCGGTCTGCCACTTTAGCATTTTTCGTTTAACAAGGGATTTCCCTGCTGTTTAAAGGGAGCTTAGCTTAGGTATATAAAAATAAAAGAACTTTTTACTTCTACAAGAGAGTAAGCAGCATCTCTTGTATTTTAACATTTCCATGTAGTCCAATGCTTCCATATCGTCATTTTTGAAACTCAACCTCGTCAATGTTGTGTTTAAAATCCTTAAAATCAATTTCATTTCGTTCTGACATTCATTTGACAGAAATTACCCTTACATAGGCAAACCAGTGTTTGACAACAAAAAGCCACAATTCTGCTAAGCCCAACCAAGGAAAGCCAATACCAAATAAGAAATAACCAATACCCTTCGCGATATTAGCTGCCTACATGCTATGTCTTTATCACATGCTTGCGGGACACAAAAAAAGGGTGCCAATGCGGCACTAAATAAAATCACAACTCTATCAATTCCATTGTTGAAAAATTAAAAGACAGCAAATGAAATTGAATTTTGGAATCATAGACTTTCTATTAGTGCGACCGAAAGAATGAAAACCTTCCCCCAACTTGAGCCTAGACAGAAACTAATTAGCTTTGTCCGTGCAGGTTTTCACTTTCCTAGTACCCATACAAACATGCATACATAACACATAGCAGTTCAAGATTTCATTCCCACCCCTTTTTCTGAGATCCCTCGGCAAAAAATAAATTTCCTCAAACTTGTTTGAACATTCAAGAAGAAAGAATATCAATATGTATCTTATGCTTTTTCCGTCCATACTCCAATCAAAAACCCAAAGACTAATCCATTGTCATAAGAAAATCCAGAGAGTTCAGAGCAAACATCAATCTTACAAATATACCATAATGATGGGTTTTCTTCATACCTTGTAATGGTAAAATCATATTAATCAAAGATGAAAAAATAAATAATTTCGTCCTAAATATGAGGTGGGTATTATTACTAATAAGTGAACGAACCGAGACTGATGGCTTGTGTGAGAGACTGTCTGATCTGAAGAGATTTGATTGAATCCATTGTCTCTTCAAACCTTCCCATTTTTGGGTTTCTACACCGTTTGGAGCTACAACCAGAGAGAGTCTTCCTCTCGAGTCTCTGCGTTGAATGCTGCTTCAGTCTTGTCTGTCTAATGGAAACACATTGAGTTGCACTTTTCGCCTCAAGTAGTTGAAAAACGTCTTTGAAATATACTTTTAACCCCTCAATTATGCTTTTGTTTCACTTTATGTCCACAAGTGATATATTTCTTAAATTATATCCCCAACTATAATTAATACTATTGATGACGGCGTGAGGAAGCCTGATTGGCTAACTCCATAGAACTGAGAATTTTTTGTGTGGGTTATAATTAATACTATTGATGATGGCGCGAGGAAGCCTGATTGGCTAACTCCATAGAACCAAGAATTCTTTTTCAAAACTTCTTGTATTGTGTGTGTGTGTGTGCGCGCGTGTGAGTAAATATAAATCACTTTCGTCATCTCTTTTTCTCTCGTTTGTATCTGTTAATGAACTAGTTGTATTTCTCTTAGGTTACCTTGTGTTTCCATTGGGTTAACTTGCAAAACAAATACCAAAGGCATCTTGAAGATTAATCAAATTTGTTGAATGGGCTCATTTGACTACAATGGTATGTGCAAAAAATGTGAAAGTTGGGCAAAAAGAGTGATAATTTTATTGCTTTTAATCCTCTTGTTTATATTTATACACACGCGCACACACGGAGAATACAAGAAGTTTCGAGAAAGAAGAGAAATGAACAATGAACTGTTTCTGTTCGGATAGACTTGTAGTGTGCCAATCAGATGCAAAATATTTTTTGTGTGTGTGTGTGTGTGTGTGTGTGTGAGAGAGAGAGAGAGAGAGGGAGAAATAAACAATGAACTATTTCTATCCGGATAGACTTGTAGTGTGCCAATCAGATGCAAAATATGATGTAGCTTGGCAAAAGTGTTTGGAACCTTCATCCTTATCACATGGAGCAACTAAAAAGTTTTTCCATAAAAAGATAAAGGAAAAACATGGATAGGCAGCAGACAGAGGCTGGATCTTCAAAGAGTTTTTGTTTTTTACGAATTAAACCAAGCATTGNACTTGTAGTGTGCCAATCAGATGCAAAATATGATGTAGCTTGGCAAAAGTGTTTGGAACCTTCATCCTTATCACATGGAGCAACTAAAAAGTTTTTCCATAAAAAGATAAAGGAAAAACATGGATATGCAGCAGACAGAGGCTGGATCTTCAAAGAGTTTTTGTTTTTTACGAATTATAAACCAAGCATTATATTAATTTTATTATGGTTTTAATTCTGAATCGAATTATTAGAATGGATTAATGTAATCCATATGGGATTCTACATTCTTCTTGAGTAATAATAGTCAAATAAGGATTCCAGTTGTTTTGTATAGTATGCTATAGATTAATCTAATACTTTTAATTATTGAACTGCTTGTTTAGTTAAAAAAGGATTCTAGCTAGTTATTTGTTTAAATTGTATTTTTAAGTACCTGACCAAATTCAAAGAACTTTACTGAGTATTCAAGAACTCAATTATATTTAGTAACCTTAAAAAGTGAAAAAAAAATCCCAGAAACTAATAAAAAACTTTGTTAGTATGGATACCCAAAAATATGGTAGTTGGTGCGATATAAATTTTTTTTTTCATTATCTTAGTGCCTCCTAAAAAAAAATTTTGTACAAAAATTTCAAGGGTTATGGAAGGAAAAACAAAGAAAAGAATAAAAGAACACAAGCTTTGTGGAGAATGTGTTGACAGCTAACTAAGGATTAAACTTATGATTTTGCATGATACTATAAACGTGTCTTATGAACCACAAGTCAGCTTGGTAGACTAAGCAAGAAACCAACAACTTCTATAATCTATGATATAAAATAGGGCGGGCTTCAGTAAACCCATTTAACGGTTTCAAATAGATTCATTCAACGGTTACCAACATTTTTCTCAAAATCATTTACATTGAATTTTACCTTCCTCTTCTCATTCTTCACTCTCTCACTGGGATCTTTACTTCTTACTTTTCCAAATTTATCGGTTAATTTACGTTGCACCGTGTCTTTAGGCATGAGTTAGCCATAGTAAAACAACAAAGAAGAACAAGTGGATCGTTACAACAGATCTTTGGGTTCATATGAATTATTCATTGGCAATAAAATTGGTGTAATGTGGAACCAATAGTATACTGGCTAGATAATTGATTTTTAGTTAATAATGTTTGGAATAATATTGAAGGGGAAATGTTTGGAATAATGGAGGGAAAACATTGCTATCATTTAACTAATTTAAGGTTACTAAATATAAATGAGTTCTTTTATTCTTGAATACCCAATAAACCTCTTTGAATTTAGTCATGCAAGGTACTCAAAAATACTATTTAAACAAGTAACTAGAATTCTTATTTAACTAAACAAGCATTTCAATAATTAAAAGCATAAACTAATCTCACTTTTAATAAAGTTTCCCCAATAATAACTGTTAGCATATGGATATGGAGTCGGATCGGTTCCCATGGGTGGGCACATTTTGGATAGATAAAGATGGTTAGTGTTTGGATTAACTTGAACTTGGTCAAGCCTAGATAAGGATGGGTTGGGTTCCTAAAATCTCTCCACCTTATCTTAGTTCCTAAAAACTATCCACGTTATCCCCACATTTGTTATATATCTCTATATATATTGTGGGACTCTACCAACACATGAGATATAGAAAATTACTACGATTGAAACTTTATATTCTCTTTCTCTATATCGTGACTATTAGAGTATTTTAAACAAAATCGTATTTTTTATGTAGCAACTCAATCCAACATTGACTCATATATATGCTAATGTTTTTTAGTCTTTGAGTAAAAGTGAGATCTTGAGACTCTCACGTAAACAGGAGTGGGACAAGCGTAGGAGATACAGAATGCTTCTGAATAACGAAAGTTCTAATAGTGTGAGATCTCGTATTTCATATAAATATAGATAATATTAACTTGATAGTATTTTTAAAATAATTAAAATGATAAAAGAAATTTCAAATCGTTGTCAAATGAATAGTCGCGTAAGTTTGAGTTACAGGTCTATTGATTTTTTGGTCAACTTTAATTTTTGAGCTGTTTAAAATTGAAGGGTAATTAAATAGATTTATTAAGTTTTTTATGTCAAAATAACATTACTATTGAATATGGGAGGTCCGAAAATTTTGGAATAAACGTTTAGCTCATATAACGGTTCAAAAAGGATAAAATAGTAATTTTAGTATTTTAGGTGTAAATTGACTTTAATTTTGAGATAAATCATAAACCTAAATATTTTTAGATTAAAATACCATTAAAAATAAATCTGGAACGTCTAAAAACCTTAAGTTTGGCTCCTCTACAGTAAGTGACCAACCACATGATATGCGGTTAAGTGGAACGACAACTTTTTGGGCTTATTTTTGTATTTTTTTTTTAAAAAAAAACTTACCAGAAACGATGTTGTTTCTGTCCATGGCATATCAAACCCATCTCTCCAGTTTCTTCTTTATGAAACCCATATTTCCCTCCTTATTCATCAGACAACCCATCTTTGTGAAATCCATCAGCTCAAACCCATCTTTTTGTTTTCTCCCTTCTGCAAAATCAGGGTTTCATCTCTCTTCCCCCAATACTTTATCACTGCATGTTGGTGGGTGTTTGAGCTGTTACCATCAACACCCAATTCTATGCTGCTATTTCACCGGCCATTTCAAACCCAACTCATAAATATCAAAAGTAACCAGAAGAAGTGCGAGAAGAAAGAGTGATCTGAGGATGTGAATGACGGTAAGGTATCGAAACCATAAACTTTTCATTCATATCAGAAATTTTTCGTTCCAATTTGATTTTTATTTTTAATATGACAATTAATATGTTCCAGTTTGGTTTTTTATTTTTTTGGAATGTCATACATATATTATGTGTAATTTCATTTCAATTAATTTTTTTAGTGTAAGATACTATGATGGATGATTTGAGAGTTAATGTGACAGAGAATAGACCTCATATTGATATGCAATTTGATACTGAAGAAGATGCTTATGTGTTTTACAATAATTAAGGAGGGTCAGTGGGATTTAACGTGAGAAAAAATTTTCAGAATAAAAGTTTGAAAGATGACATTATCATTTACAGAAAATATGTTTATTGTAAATAAGGTCAAAGGGTTCATGATAAAAGAGAGTGACAAATAAGAAAACCTCGAGTAGAAATGCGAACAAATTGTCAAGTTCATATGTGCATATCTTTTAATAGAGAAATTGTCAAATTTGTTGTAGTGAAATGGGATGACAACCACAACCATCCTTTGCACCTTGCTGAATGTATGCATATGATGTCATCGCAACGGAAGGTTATCGGAACACAAGACATTAATATTGATATGGCATCAGATTGTGGAATATCACTTAAGGCTTCTTATGAACTCTTGAGTACTTAGTCGGAAGGAAATGAAAGTCTAGGTTTTACTCGTCAATACCAAAAGAATTACCTCCGTGAAAGGAGGCAATAAGACTTGAGGTATGGTAAGACGGATCGTTTGTTGAAGTATTTTCAAACGAAAATAGCTAAAAATTCATCATTCTATTATTGAGTGCAATTGGATGTGGAGGAACATATTACTAATATTTTTGGGCCGACCCAAGGATGATTATTGATTATGGCAACTTTGGAACAAACAAGGAGTATCGACCCTCTGCTTGTTTTACTGGCTTCAACCATTTCAAAGAGACAGTCTTATTTGCAGCTGCATTATTATATGATGATACAACAACATCATTTCAGTGGTTGTTTGAGACAATCTTACAAACTATGTTTGAGAAATATTCTTGTCACATCCCGAATTTTCATAAACCCGGGGAATGAGTGAAAATGGAAAAGAAAAGTAAAGGAAATGTCATTAGGTTGGATAAATTAGTTTCTCATTCATTTCTCATGTTTTCCCAAATTTTTTCAAACCACTTTTCTTCCTTTTTTAGCTTATTTTTTCAAGGTTTCTAAACCCCCCCTTTTTGACATCCTTCCCACCTATTTAAAATGTGTTTTACACACTTAACAAGTCTTTTAATTTTTCATAAAATTTTGACATAATCTCTTTTGTTTT